ACTGAATATCAAGGTCTGAGCTAGAACATTCTGGTGATGCTTGATTTCCCTCAGGGGAGAGAGAGAAATGAACTTTTATTTCAAAAACCATTTTGGTGCATATGAGCTTTCAAAATCTGCAGTGTGGTATGAAGTGGGGATGGAAGCAAATCCCCCGAAGGACTTTTGGTGGCAAAAAGATCAGGAACTTTTTCTCAAGTTGGATGTGGATGATGGTGGTGCAGGAGGAAGGGCGGGTCCAAAGAGGACCTTCTAAAAATACTGCTTGTTTACCCAAAAGACATGGCCCACTCTTCTGCTGCACCCCTGACAGCTCCTCAAAAGGAGAAATCGTCTTGCCACCCATGCCTCCTCTCGCCGGCTGAAGGCACCTCCCCAGGGTGGCCAGGGGCCAAGAGCCAGGAAGAAGCTGAAACTTGGTGCCAGGCAGCTGGTTCAGATCTCAGCTCACTACTCTTCTCTATGAGCCTGTTTCTTCATCCAAGGAATGGGAATACAAATAGCTAATGTGTAAGTTCGACTAAATGGGATAATATCTATCAATCATGTCATTTGGTGCCTGGCACTTGGGGGCACGTATGAATGCTAGTTGTGTGTCATTCCTATTGATGGAGAGAGCCCACCATGTGCTGGTGCCTAGGGGTAGGTGAGCTAGATGGGGGGGTGTCCTGCCCTCACAGGGCTCCTGGCCTATAGGATCTGCTCTGTGCTGGGGCAACTGAACAGCCTCCTGCCCCTAGTTCCCTCTGAAATTGCAGGTGCAGGGAAGAGTCCAATTAGGAGCCTTTGAAGCACTTCCTGAGCATCTAGAGACACAGGAAATTTGGTTGTGGGAACACCGGGAGATGCCAGGCCAAGATGCAAGGAGATCTAGGCATGAATGGGAGGCACTGCATCCCTGTGGGGGGCTCTAGACTGAAAGCCTAGATTCTCAGCCTCCCAATGCAATGGGCTTCCTTTGACTGTGGGCCTCCTGTGTGCCTGGGGCACCACACAGAGCCTCTCTCGGCCTTTCGATGATGCCACAAGATAAGCATCGTTATCCCAGCCTAGTGGTGGGAAAGCTGATACTCAGAGAGGTTAAGTCACTTGCCTAAGGCCTCCCAGCCACGATTCAAACTCAAACTCTCCAACGAGGTG